AACTCATGTAAGCTGAACAGTAATATGAAGATATTTATCACAATTGTAGCAATCAAACTGCGCTGAAACATGAGTAATGAAGGACTAACGTATGGATAAAATCGAGTTAACCATTTGCTGAGTTCTTGATTGTTGAAATGAGTGACATGAGGACCCTTGTGGTAAGTTTCATTCACATTGTTCAGTGCTACTATTTCAATATTCCATATAATGTCAACCATCCATTCACTATGCAGACGACACTGATCGAATTCCATGTGTAAATATAGCCAGCCACTATAAATCACTATCGTAAAATGCTTCAGGTCGACTGCAGAGTTGACTCAGACATGTTCTCGTTGATCAGTAGAAGGTGGTCGAAAAAGTATAGGTGATGATCGAAAAAGTAGTCCCCATGAGGACTACCTTTTTATTCGTTGATTAATGCTAACGTCTACCATTTTAAATGATATTCATTTCATTTACGATACCTGATCCTGATTAGATTCATTCCTAATGGGTTGTTTCTTTCAGTCATACCCGACCAATCAATAAGACTGATCAGAGGCAGCACGACTGATTCGACTGTCATCGAGTGGTGATAAGTAAGAGCAGATTGGAAAGTGACAAAGCATCTACGGGGAAAAATTAAGAGCGTGGATGAAAAGTTAGAAGATTCTTGTCAGGAAAGACTGTTAGCTATCTGGAGCATGAAGCCTGATTATCTCGAGAATATCTCCGAAAAGGTAACATTCATTCAAAAAGGTGTCCAGCGCAATGGTGACGATGGATGTATGCGACGGGGAATTTGTTCAATAAAATGAAGAGTTCGTAAATCAAAACAGATCTTGCAAGCAACACCAACAAACACTTCATTGATAAGAATTATCAACCCACCAGTTCACATAATAAGATATTCTCCATTTCAAACAACCCAAAGTACGCCATTCACAGTATCGTTTCTTTTGCCAATTGCACGTCTCAGTAAACGATTTGAAGTCATCGATTATGAATTGCTGCTTCATTACTGCTTCATCTGAAATCATTTTGAACCGAGTTCAAAACAGCTGTGGACATGCCAATCGTTTTGATGTTCTAACAGGAAAATAAACGCACGCAAATTTCAAAGTTATTCCACTATTTACTGTTTTT